CCACCAAATATGCATCACCGTGCCTCGTTCCTCTTGACATCTCCAACATGCCGGGGGGAGTGATGGGAAAATTCGGTGTAGTAGTTCTGTACCAAAGGGAGATTAATTTATAGTTCATTTCCTGATAATAGGAGCTCATAGAACTCTTGTGTTGCCATAGCATTGCTGCCTCCCACTGTTGGGGGGTGAGCGGATTCCCGAGTTGTTCTTCCCATTGTCGTTTGAATGTCATCGGTGCAGGTGCGCCTCCAATCAGCAAGTGTTGATATAGTGTCGAGATCACGTGGTCCAGTCCGGCACCCCGATCGCAGAGGTCTTCGAACCATGTAAGGTCTCTGTGTAATCGTTCATTGTGCGGAATTGAGGCATGGAAATGTTTCAGTTGTAGGTACCGAAATTGAAGAGACGTCCTTGGCCTGTCCCCTAGCAGTGATGAGAGATCTCGTAATTTCCCCTCTGCCAGGATTGTATGTATGGGTATGTATTCGCTTGCACTCTCGATGGGCCATGCTCCTGCCAGGAGCCCACCCCCTATGGCTTCATTATGCGTGATTGGCAGCATCGGGCTGGGTGTGGGGGATACGTGTTCTTGCCCCCTCAGTGCCTGCCAGCTATGCAGGGTCTGCAAGACCATCCCCTCGGTGTTCTCAAGAGTGGTTTGTCTCCCGGGCCTCCCCCATACCTTCGCCTCCAGCGTTGGACCAATAAGGCCCCTGTCCAGTGCCACCCATTGTTTAGTCGTCGGTGTTAAGTACCAGTCCAGTATGCGTTGCATAACCGTAGCTTGATGATATTTCTTGAAATCAGGCAACGCCAGCCCACCGTGTATTCTTGGTCGACACACGATGTCATGTCGCGTCCGGGATCGTCCCCCGCGCCATATATATTTAATCACCCCCGTTTTCAGGACGGAGAAAAAAGTTGCTGGTATGGCAAGGGGTATCGTTTGCATGAGATATAGGATCCTCGGAAGGATATTCATTTTAATCACAGCAACCCTGCCATGCCATGTGATATGTGGATACGACCAACTAGTTAGGTCTGCAAGAATATTCTTCAGGAGGGGTGTATAGTTGTGATCGTACATGTCCTCCGGTTTCGTGGTCACCCAGACACCCAGATACTTCATTTTGCCGTAACACCATTTAAATGTGAATTGCGATTCCAAGGATTGGAATTCCTCCGTGGGGAGTGTGATGTTCAGAACCTCACATTTCGAAATATTAAGTTTAAATCCGGACATCTGTTCCGAATTTATCGAATTCTGAGAGGAGGCAAGGCAGCGTGATTCTGGGGTTGCTGACAAAGAAAAGAAGGTCATCCGCGTAAGCAGCCACTTTGTGTTGCACTCCCTGCCATTCATAGCCCAGTATATTCGGATTTAGCCTGATTGCTTGCAAGAAGGGCTCCAGGGTGAGCGCGAACAGCAACGGTGAGAGCGGACACCCCTGCCTGGTTCCATTACTGATTGCAAAATCAGCAGTTGTGGCCCCATTGATTCTTACAGTTGCTCGGGGACCCGTGTACAGGGCCGAGATCCACGTGAGAAGCCGCTGGCCGCAGCCCTGCCAAGTCAGCGTCTCCATCATATACGACCAGTTGACCCGGTCAAATGCTTTTTCCGCATCTGTCGATAGAAGCAATAATCAGGCTCCCTTTCTCCTAGTGTGATGTTGGATGGAGAGCAGTCTCAGGGTGCTGTCTCTGGCTTCCCTCCCAGGAATGAATCCCGTCTGATCAGCGTGTATCAAATCGGGCAGAAGACGTTTTGGGCGGGTAGCGAGCACTTTCGTAAATAGTTTGGAGTCCACATTTAGCAATGAAATCAGGCGGTAACTACCGCAGTGTAACGGGTCCTTACCCGGCTTGAGAAGGACCGTGATGGTAGCTGCAACTGATTCCCTACCCAGGGTTCCCCCTTCACCAATCGCGTTGAGAGCGTTGGTTAGCCGCGGCAAGAGCAGTCCCGAGAAGCCTTTATAGTATCCCAGCGAGAAGCCATCTGGGCCAGGTGCTTTGCCGGTTTTGAATGTTTTAAGAGCCGCTGCTATTTCTTCCACACTGATTGGCGTGTCTAGTATTGACGCTGATTCCTGGTCGATCTTGTTCGTGACCGTATCAGACAAGAAGTCCCGTATCTTCGTGAGGTTCCTCGCAGCATCAGTATCCACGTATAAGTTGTAGAGGTTCTCGTAAAAAATTTTGAATTCCTCCGCGATTTTCTGCGGGAAGGGAGAGGTCTCCCCCGTGGACAAGCGTATCTTGCGAATTTGCCGATGGGGCATAGGGCCCTTTAGGAGCCTCGCAAGGTATTTGCCACCTTTATTAGCATGTACATAATAAAAGCCTTTAGTTCGTTGCACCGATCTGAGGTGCCTTTTCAAGAGGAGTGCTTTAAGCTTTCTCCTGTGTTCCATCAGGTCACCGTAAACCGCATTCAGCTGTGATCTTTTATGGTTGCGCTCTAGTGTCGAGATTGTGTGATGTAGCTCAGTCATTTCACGCATATACGCCTTCCGTTTCTGTGAGGCGATGCGTATAAATGTGCCGCGGATCACGCTCTTGTGAGCTTCCCACAGGGATATCGGGGAGACATCCGGAGTGTCGTTTTCTCGAAAATATTGCTCCAATGCCTGACCAAATGGCCGGAGTGATGTCGGCTCCTAATAGGTGAGAGAGGCCCTCCTGAGCGACAAATAGATAGTCGATGCGTGAGTATCGGTTGTGAAGCGCTGAATAGTAGGTGTAGTCTTTTGTTGAGGGGTGTAGCGTCCTCCAGCAGTCCACCAGTCTCAAGGCTTCCATCGATCGTCAAATGGACCTGATAGTATGCTGCGGTAGGCAGCTATGACCCGTTGAGGAATCCAGTGTCTGGTCAAGTGGGGCGTTGAAATCACCACCCACTATTAATATCCCATCCGTGAAGTCTTCCAGCTGGTGGAGAGTGTTTCGGAGGAAGGGAGCCTGCCTCTTATTGGGTACATAGATGGAGGCTAGTGTATATATCTTCTCCACTATAACACCTTTAAGGAAGAGGTATCTTCCTTGCGAATCTTGCACTCGGTCTAGTTCTGTAAATTCCAGATCAGCCGCCAGGAGAATGGCCACTCCGGTTTTGCATGACGTGGGATGGTTGCAAAAGCAATTATTGGGGTAGTGCCTATTCCGTAGCCTAGGATGCGTCCCCTCCTTGAAGTGAGTTTCTTGCAGTAAGGCAATCGACACATGTTTTTTCTTCATTTCTCTCAGCAGGTGTGTCCTGCGCTCAGGGATGTTGAGTCCTCTGCAATTCTGTGTGATAATCTTCAGGGGCTTATCGCAGTAAGCCATAGTGTCCAGGCGTGTCGGTAGCAAGAGCTTTGTGTGGTTCCGAGGAGGATACTCAAGCTGTGGGCCAGTCGGTCCAATGCGGGGTGGGAGGGGGGGAGGAGGAAGGGTGGAGGAAGGGTAGAAAAATAAAGCAAAGGGTAGATATAAGTAGTATAGGATTGAGTTTGGGTTCGGTACCCGGGATACGGGGCCAGCTGTCCCTATGATAATTAAAAGGAGGTGTGTATTCTTGTCGTCGATATCCTCACAGAGTTTGGGTCCGCCCCAAATCTACTCCCCCCACCCAGGTGGGGGAGGGGTGTCTCGTGCAGCAGCCGACCCGGGTAAGTCTCGCTCCGGTACCTGCCCAGGAGACCAAAGTACCCCCCTGTTCGGGCGGGATGGGGGAGCAAGGCCTGTGCGCACACGAGACCAAATATAAGTTGTGGTTAGAGGGGGCGGGCTCCTCGCGGGGCGGCCGTGTGTGTGTAGGTGCTAAGATTGATACCAGTGGGAGCGCTTGTGTCGGTGTGTGCAAGGCAAAACATGGAAGCTAACAATTATGAACAGCAGAGTTAAATACAACAATTTCCCCCTTCCAAGTCCCCCCCCGCCACCCAACAAGGCCCCCCCCCCATGCCTAGGCAATGCATCCTGTAGCTTTATAGTGTCTCGGTCGCAGTACATGGATCCAAGGATGCAAGCAGGCACGGAAAGATGGGCCATGTCCCCCCCCTCCGCTCCCCACGTCCCCCCTCCCAAGAGCCCGTCAGCCAAACAAATGATAGACCGTGTTCCGGGTCTGGAAAACAAGGGGGGGGCCGTTAAATATTCTGATTGTTGAGTCCACGTGTGTGAGAGTCCCTGCCGTGTGCCCTCAGACCAATCGTCCCCCACCCCAATCCCCAACAATATGTCCCAAAGTACCTGAGGGCGTACCGTACACCAGTGCCGGTCATCACGGGGAGGTAGAGGTAGGTACGGGCATCTCAATATCTGGGGCCCATTTCGTGCGGTCAAAGGTAGTGTAAGTCAGTAGCCGGTGCTGGTGGAGGATGGGAATCGAGGGGCCTCAAACAGCCAACATCACCGTAGGCAGGGAATTGCAGTTATTCCTCTGGGGATGTCGGATCCCTATGTCTTCAAGCTTGAGAAGTAGCAGGAGCCCTCGCATTCCGCTGCCTTGGCTCCCTCTGTGTTCTCGGCAGAGGGCCCAGTGATCCCAGGATCCAGTTGGGAACTGTCTGTGGTGGGAGGCCCAGTTCTCCCAGGAACCGCGGCACCTCCTCCGGCCATTTTAGGGTAACCCACCGGTTCTGGTGCCTTGCCATCAAGGCAAAGGGAAAACCCCATTTGTAAGTCACATTATGTTCCCGCAGTGTCGCTGTTACAGGGCGAAGAGCTCGCCTGGCTTCCAGGGTGATAGGGGACAGGTCATTGTAGAGTGAGACCTGGGCCCCTCTGAAGGTCCATGTTGTGCAGTCCCGGGCTTTCACCATGATAGCATTCTTCACCGGGAAAGAGCAAATGAGGTCTCTCGGTCCGTCCTCCGCATTTCGGGGTCGCAGGGCCCTGTGTGCTCTCTCGAATTCAATCTGTGGAGGCGGGGACGGCTGCATGATTAAATGGAATGGCTCCTTAAGGGTGTCCGGAACATCTTCTGCCCCTTTAGCCTCTGGGACACCACGTACGCGGATGTTACACCTCCTATTATCCACATCCTCGAGGTGTCGGCGCATGGTGAGTAGCATCTCGCCTTGTCTGGCAACAGAAATGTCAGTGGACGCCATGCGGGACGTGAGGGCCGTATCCGCCTCCTCCATCGCGGTAATGCGGCCCGCGTGCGTGGCAAGCTCCGTGCGGAGTCCAGCGACCTCTGTCCGCAGCGTTTCCTGTATGGTGGCTGTTATGGCCTGCAGGTCGGCTTTGGTGGCCATAGCTGTGGTTAGTTCCCGGAGGGTGCCTTCAATCCTCTCCAATGCTGTGTTTTCCGGCCCCTGGCTGGGTGCCGGCGCCATCTTGGGGCTCGCGGTATCCCCGCTCGCCCCGGGCTGAGGCTGTAAGAAGCCATCCAGAGGTATCTGCTGGGGGTTCCCCGGGGTCAGGGAGTGCTCTGGGCGTTTGGTGCGCCCCATCATACCTGAGGTGCCGCTAATGATAGCTAAATTGGGGGTTCGGCGGAGCGGAGCTCTCTCCTCACGCGGCCATCTTGGTCAGAGCCGGAACCACGCCCCTATTAATGTGCTTTGATACAGCACTTTGGGAACGTCCAACTTCCTTTGCAATTACCTTTTGAGGCTTTCCCTCCCTATTAACCAATTATGGTTTTCTGCACAACTGTCAGATCAGCAGTCTTCCCCATGATTGTGATTCTACAGCAGCCAAGGAAGCCGTTTTACAGCACCAAGGTCTTGGTCCAATCAAAGCTGGATCCCCTTTCCAACTTAATGTGATGGTGACCAACAATGTGATGTCATGGAGTTTGGGGCAGTCAAGTGAAGTTAAAGGCCAGAGTACCAATTGGGTTTTGGTCCAAGCAACTAACTGGAGCTCAACAACGGTACTTGCCCCTGGAAAATAACTTATTAGCTGCCAATATGGCCCTTCAGCATGTAGAGACTATAACCCAAAAGACCCCAGTGTCTGTAAAAACAGACTTACCGATTGCAGGCTGGGTGCGTGATTGTGAAGGAATGCCCCTTCACTTGTTTTGGACGTAATAACTTTCCCCCTGTTCATTTGTTTATACAAAATTCCCCCGGTTCGGCTCCCGAGCGAAGACCACCCCAACATCTAATTAGAACGTGGAATACAAAGTATCCAGTGCGAAACCGCAACGGAAACTATTACTAAAAGGCTCCTGCCATTTCGTATACCAAACGCACGTGGTTGACAGAATGGATGGCGGCCACCTTGTCTCCCGAATGCAGGCAGCGGTACCTGGTCGTCGAGTTCCTTGAATTTATTTTGGCTCAGCACTCCCGCAAACACTGGTGAATATGGAACTGCAGCCCGTTCAAGTTTCCGACCACCTATACGAACGGCGTTTGGGAAATATAAATGACCAAATGGGGGGAGCATTCAACACCTAAAAGCGTGCACATATTATGTATGGATTTCGTATAAAAACCCACGATTTCCATGGAACTTTTTTGGGCTTCTACCTTGTGGACAGACGGTCAAAATTGCACCTCGAAGGAAATTCCAACCCACCAAACCAATCTGAGTGATTTTTGGATATGATAGTCACTCAGATCAGGGCTATCCGGGGATGTGACTCTTGAAGGGTTTCCATAGATTTTGGGGTGCTTACATTTTTTTATATTTTTCTGTACCTGGGAGATAATTGAATTGTAAGTTTCCTGACTCTCAGGCACAGGGAAGGAGTTTACTGTATGTATAAATTGTGAGTGAAAAAAAGGACAAAATTATCTATCCAAAATAGAGTGGAAAAACACGAATCAAACTAAGTTCGAACTGGAATCCAAACCCCCCAAAAACAGAAGAAATAGAGTGGGGATAATTGGCCTAGCTGGAATTAAGGAAGCAAATTCTGGAAAGCAAAATTAAGGAAGCAAAAACAGGAAAAGGGCTGCCCCTAAAGAATCGACTGGAGTTATACACAGTCAGTTATATGCCAGAAGTGGAAGATACCTCTAGATGAAGAATACAAATATTGTAAATAAAAATGTGTAGATATGAACAGGAAAGGTGCTGCTCTAAAAAGTGATTGAAAATATATACAATCAACTAAATAGTGAAATAGACAAACAATACATAAATGTACAAATTAATCATAAAAAATTAAGTAAAGTGAAAAAGATATATAAATGTATGAAACAGAATAAAAAATAACAAGTATAGTCCCAAATAAAATCTAGTCCCAGATAAAAAATGTGAAATAAGGAAACAATAACTGCAGCAACATGTAACAGCTATGGGATGTCCATATCTCCACATTTTTATCTGTATTTTTATTTACAATATTTGTATTCTTCATCTAGAGGTATCTATACCCTATGTTCTTCCTCTGGCATATAACTGACTGTGTATAACTCCAGTCAATTTATTAGGGGCAGCCCTTTTCCTGTCCTATGCATTTGAATTGCATTTATTACAGCATTTGCATCTTTAATTTCGGCTAGGCCAATTATCCCCACGCTATTTGTGACGAAAGCACCTTTGTCAATGGGATTTGGAGAGGCCTGCTTTCCAGCCTCTTGCCCTTTGACTATGGCCCTGGGATATATTACCCTATAAAAACACTATTTGGGCATATTGGATTTTAAAGGCACTCTTTCTGTCCCTTGGACTTTTAACTGTATCAGATTCAAACATGTGGCGGTGGCCATCTTAAATTGTCCAGCAGTATTTTGCCGTCGAGTGTATAGAACTGTTTTGGGCATGGGACCATGTGCACGGTGGGGAAAAAAATAAGACTTCCAGGAAATTCCTGAACCCCTGAACCGATCTGGGTAATTTTTGGATATGTTGTTCACCCAGATCGGGGCTATCAGGGGATGTGACTTTGTGGGGATATGTTGTATTTTGGGTTACTTTTTGGGGTTTGTAAAAATGTATGTTTTTTTCTGTTTAGAGTTAATTGAGTTAACCCATTGGCTTTGTTAATTGTATCACAGGCAGAGGGGAGGGTTTGTGTGCTGTATGTGGGAGTGTCAGACATTGTTGTATTGTTCTGATAGGTTTGTGTCCTTTGTATGCCTGTGTTCCATCAGGTCGAGGGGGTGTGCCTCCGGCCTGAGGAATTGTATAAATTGTGAGTGCTGGCCTGCATTAAACAGACCTGTTCTACCCTTCACGAAAGTCTTGGCTCATGTTTGGGGGATTGGAGAACTACACTCTGGGGATTTCTATAATCACTATACTCCCCAGAGTATAATCACTAGCTCTTTTAAGAGCTGTTCCAAGCTGTGGCGGTTCGTGGGGTTTGGGGTAGTTATGGTGTCGAGTGCGGTGCTGATGGTCCTTGGCGAGCACTAGGAGCATCGTTCGACGGAGGCACTAATTTTTGCATCGTTCAACGGAGGCACTAATTTTTGCCTAATTTTTGTTTCACATAAATTGTGAGTGCTTGCCTGCATTAAACAGATCTACTCCCAGCATTCAGTCTAGACTAATACGATACCAGCGATATTTACTTTGATGAGTGTTGGAGCTATGTTATTTTGGGGAAAAGGAAATCCATGGCGGCCATATATTGACAGTCCGCCACAGTGATGATGGCCTATCCATACGCGCAGAGGTGGCCCAAAGCCAAACGCTCATGAAGTGGAAATGGGACCTACAAGAGCGATGTGGAATACAAGCTGGTGAAGTAAGATTTAACTAGGCTTCTCAATGGCCTTGTAACATATGAAACTTTGTCACATCCAAATACATGTGAGATACCTGTGCTACAGCCTTCTCCCATAAAGACTGCCTTGCCGTAAGAGTGTCACGTATTCATCTGCACATAAAAATGTGGTTAATGGAATTTACCGTTCTGACAGGAAAATTTGTGCCGAGCAGGATTACCGTCCTGACAGGAAAAGTTGTGTTGAGCAGCAATCATGCACATGGAAACCTGGCAATTGCTTTTGGGGTCAATCAGATCTACAGGAGGATTTGTGCTGAGCAGCAGTCGTGCACATGGAAACCTGGCAATTGCTTTTGGGGTCAAAGGCCGGTTACAGCCAATCGGATCCACAGGAGGGGTATTTAAACCCAATTCTCCTTTTGCTCATTGCCCTGTCATGGTTTCGTCCTGATGGTAATCCGAGAGTGCGTTCCTGATATTGATTTTCTGGTATTTGACTTTGGCTTAGTTTTGAATTCTGGTATCCTTGACTTTTGGCTTTCCCCTCATCGTTGTGTCTGATTCTGTGTTCCTAACCTCGGCAAGTATTTTGACTATTCTTGGATATGTTGGATAAGTCCAGTCATTCTAAGGTCCGGTGATACGTTATCCTTAGTCCTAGGTGTGACACAGTTCTGCGTGCTGGATCAACTTGTAATCCTTACAAAGAGGAATTACAAGACTGTCAGAAACCAAACACATGGTTTACTGTCTTCTGTGATGACCCCCAAAGGAAGACACTGGACAGCTGTAGCTTACAATCCTCATGGAGAGTTGGTGATCCAGGAGCAAGGTAAAGGTGGGCTCAAGCCAAATTGCTGAACTTGCTGCCATAACCATCTTGCTTGAAGAAATGGATTCCCAGGAACTGTTCATTTACACAGACAGTCGGACTGTTTACAAAGATTGTACTACTTGGATGACTACATGGAGAGAAAACCATTGGCTTATTCATGGCAAACCAGTATCGGGTGGTGTAGAACTTTGGGAAAAGATCTGGGCAGTTGCACAGACAAGACAAATCCAAATTGGACATGTTGATGCTCATATTCCACAGTAAAGGAGTTTAAGCATGCGTGGGATAGGCATAAGGCTATCCTAATTATAAGATTAGGCTAGGGACTAATGAAAGTATTTAGAAAATTGGGCAGACTAGATGGGCCGAATGGTTCTTATCTGCCGTCACATTCTATGTTTCCCCATGGGGGAAAAAAACACTAAGATTGCAGGTGAACTGACCCGAGTACGGAACCTGAAGACCAAAGATTGAGGTCCTGTTGATCCAGTCTTACTTCGTATGGCTACATTGGTGCATACAGCGGGAGGACATTGACTCTAGCCCACTCCAGAGTGGCTTTGTTTCCTCAGAGGGCTTCCTGTCACATTGGAACTTGTAACTACTGCCCTGTCTGCAGTCAAATAAAAAAGTGGCCCCTTTCTACTCAGTCAAGTGGACATTTAAAGAAAGGCAATTCTGCAGGTGAAATTTGGCAAATGGACCTCATTGGCCCTCTACGAAAAGGAGCAGGGGGTTTGATGTACTGTTGCACTGCAGTAGATACATATACAGGACTGATGAGAGTTCTCCTTTGTAAAAGTGCTAACAATTTTTAATCACTGCATGTCAACAGAAACACAAACTGACAGCGGAACTCATTTCAG